TCAACCTGAGGCTCATCCTATAGTATCATACTGACATTTTCTTGGTCCTGAATGTCCATATTGCTTTTATAGTAGAACAGCGGAATCAGATGCTATTTTATTTTCTAATGAATATTTAGCTGATAATTTATATATTACCTCCATGCTATGGGTTACCATTCATACACTTCCAAAGGTATAGCTCATATTGTTACAAACCCCCTTCACCAATACAAGTTCACAGTCCATGATGGGGCTTAAATATGCCAATTGAAATCAATAAGATTGTTAAGTTAATTTTAATACATCTGATCTGGATTCAGACTAGACTCAGTCCAATGTACATCTCTCTCAAGAAATATAGATTAAAATATACCGGTACCCTTATGCAGATCTTTTAAGAGTAACGTATTTGCATACAAGTTGAAGTGTCAGTCACAAAAAATACTTGTATACATTAATATAAAGTAGCCCCCTTTCTAGAAATATAAATAATAGTAAAAGGTTTATATACTTTTGTATCTTTATATACTGGATCATCATCATGACATTCCTTTCCTCTAAAAGCTCATTGGTTTTGACCATACATTTTGTAGAGCAGGATAAGAGTTTATTTGAACATATGCAATCAGAAATAAAAGGGTGAGTTTTTAAATATCAAGTGGAAAATATCAGTGGAAAATATAAATATATATCAAAGTTTTTATGCATTTCAATATTAAGGTGAAGGAGTGAGTTTATGGTATTCAAATAGTAAGATAGAATTGATATGCACTGCAAAATAATGTCAACATTTTAAAAAATATGTACCATTTATTAAACAAAATGTAGGTTTGTGAATTTCTAGTAGGAAAAATAATTGGAAAACAGACAATGGGATTCTGATACCTCTAATTCTTCTGGATTCCTCAATACTTTACAGGCCACAGTTACCAATGAAGACATCATCTTTAGCTTATTATTCAGTGAAGTGAATTTGTGAACCAGTCAGCTCTGCTTATTTTTTTGAATGGGATTGTGTTCCCCTGGAAGATCAGCTTCATCTATGACTAGATGTGTTCATCATACAACCTCAAAATTAAACTGTTATATTATGGTTTAATGCAATGGAGACACATCTTTGAACTTAGTTTGGAAATCTAAATCAATATGAATATAAGTGATTATATCACGTGATTTTTAAAAAAAATCCTAAATAGTAAACCTATGCAATGGTTTAGATTTGATGGCTGCAAAAGGCTGCCATGTGTTCATAGTAACAGATGTGCCTGCTTCAAATGTTTATTTATTTAATGGATGGCTGAACTCCTGTATGACTCTTTGGCAGCTTACAATTAAAAAAAGCCTCCAACATATAAAATGAATACAAGAGACAAGAAGAGCAAAATACAAAGACAAACCAAAACAAATCAAACCTATCCCAAAAGGGGTGCAAAAAAAAAAATCTCTTGCAGAGTTGCAGATGGGTATTATCAACAAAGGAGAATATTTGTAGCATAAGATTGAAATGTGCACTGATGATGTTACCTAGTTAGGGTAATGAAATATTTGAAAGAAAACAATCAAGTTCAGAGACCACCAAGGATCCTCAGATAGGTGGTATTTCCCATATATTCCAAAGCACCCTTTTGGAATTAAATACCAGCCTGACAAAACACTCAAAAATACTCTGAATCTATGTAGATCTATTAAGTGAGTTGTTTCTATTGCTCTCACATCTGCATTTGAGTTCTTTGGATGAGGCCTGATACATCATAGCATATGACATAGCAACACATCTGTTGATATGTCATATCAACACATAGCCTTCTACTGTAGAATTTTTTACCAAGAAACCCATATAATATGCTACTAGATTTCTGAAAGGAGATAACTTAAATATTATATGTTAAGGGATGGGAGAATTCAAATACATTCAAAATGGCTATATGTCACAAATCAATTTTATTAATTTAAACGCAAAGTGAATGGAGGAAAGTTTCTGTACATAATGGTTGACACAACACACTGTTTGTACAATAAGGGCCAGACATACTTTTAGCCAGCATACAGATTAATTCCCTTCCCCAAAAAGGAAGGGGGAGCAGGAAAAAAAAACCTTAATTTTGCCTAAAACAAAAACCAGCTTTGCAACTGAAAGACTTACATGTCTGCTTAACCACAGACTTTAAGCAGTCCTCGCATTGGCTTGTTTTGGGTAGATCACGTTACTGAAGATGAAGGGCTATATTTATAATCAAACAGTTTGAAATAAGTCACAAAATAATGTAAACTTTAGCAGCAATATGCATCCCCCACAAAAAAGGAGTTGCCCCAATAAGGCTGCATGAAGCTTTGATTCAAATTGAGGGTGAATCATCAAATCAAATTTTCACACAAGTGCCTATTTGGATTTATTCAGCTAAACTTACAGATTATGGATGTGAATTGAATTTTTAAATTGAATTACAAGTTCAAGTTGGATCTTGGCTGAATCACATACACTTATTGCCTAATGGCTATTTTTGCTACTAGCTGGCTTAAAAGCTGGTTTATTCTACAAAAATAAAAATCTAGAAAGTGGTAAAATATATCTAAAATATGTATTTCTAGATAAGCCAGCTGTGCTAGTATTAAAATTTAGGCCAAGAATTTATACTCATGCATAGATTCAGGCAGGTTTTGGTGTAATAAGGGCTTTGTTTAGCCATGGATATAAACATGGACGCTCACAGGATATTACATAGATTTTCTCAACCTGTGCCAATTTTTCCTTCCCATTTATCAATAGCTAAGAATCCTGATTAAATATGGAAACACACTGGTGTTGGTATAATATAGTAGGAAATAATTTTTGAGGAAGATACAAGATGCATTTGTTACTAATTCTGGCCAAGTAAGCCACACTGATTTATCTAAGTCAGGTCAAAATAAAACTGTCAGGATTGTCGCAGGTTAGTAAGAAAGGATAGAATTAATTAAACTACAAACAATGAAAACAAAATTGGCAATAACAATTTTACTGTGCCCATTGCCAGCAATGGACCAATACAAAAATCTGATTGTTAGTGTGAAACTGTCAAAATTAAGGATCTTCTAGATATTTGTCATTCTTATTTGCCAGTTTCATTTCAAGATGTGGGTTTACAAATAAAATCATTTCAAAATGCTTGCAGGTTTTAAGCATTCTAATGCTTAAAGAAATATGCATCGCCACTATAGCTTCTTATTTTAAGTAAACACCACATGGTTTGGGACATTTTGTGCTCTCATGTAGAGTTAGAAAAAATTTGGGATTTCTGTTTCTAAATTACCCATCTTAAAATTCTTAACTCCTACTGTGCCTGGTCTTTTCAATAGGAGGTGTTAATGAGATTTGGACTGCAATAATTGACATGCTTACTTTCGAATTAAGCTCACTGAATTTGGTGCTGGCAAGGCATATAGAATATGGTTATTAAAGTGTATAATTTTTTTGCAACAAATTTGTTATTTTTAAAAAAAGTAAGACTAATTTCCATAGTCAGTATGTATTGACTGACTCCCCAAAAGCATTTCCTGTTCTATTTTAAGATAAGATATTTAGGTTTTGAGTGCAAAAACATCTTTTTTACTTTATTAAATCATGATACATTACACAAGGTTATCTTTTTAAAAAGTTCTCTATATTTCTGACAAAAAGAATAGATTATTACTCCACATTCAATATTTGCACGAGAAGACAATGACTTGAATGCAAATATTTTTTCATTGGCAGAATTCCAGTAATGTTGCTCCTGACAGTAAAAATAGAAGTAGGGAGAAGCAATTTTTGTCACTCTCTCCTTTCTCCTAAAATCCTGTTCTGGAACTTATCCCATTTGTTTGCAACATATTTCTGGGGATTCCTGGGGTACAAATAATAAAAAAATGATTTTATCCAATGGGAAGATTCTTCTATTGTATCAACATCCTTCCATGGACAGAAGCTGTTCAGTTTATGATTCAAACCAGTTAAACAAAAGGAGCAGAACACTGTGCTCAGTTTGCAAGCAGTACTAATACATATGATTCATATCAGTTAGGAATACATTTTCATGTGTAAACTGCTACTTTTCTTGGCAAAGTACACATAAACAACGACAAATCAGGCCTCCATACCCACTTTAAAAGAAAAGTAACAATTTAACCATGCAAATTTTTCTCATCTGATTTAAATGAAGTATATTTTGCACTCGAACCTATATATTCAAGTACAAAGTATAAATGAAAGGGTAGCCTATTATAGGCAAGGTAAAATTAGGGATCTGATATTGTGATATAACAGATTTGCAAAGAAAAAAAAACTAAAAGAATGAATAAAAAGTGATTCCTCATTGACACTTGACAACCATGGTTTTGGTCTTGATCTTAAAAATTTCAATTTACACATTATACACAATTCTTTTATAAGGCACAGCACAATAGTTTGTGCACACACTGCCTCATTCTTCACCAAAAATCCATTACTACTATTCAATAATATTTGTCTAAACAATATGTAAAACATTGTCCATTAGAAATTTACACAAAAACATTCTTCCTGTACACGATTGTCTCAGTGATGTACTTATTTGCTTAAATTAGAAATACTTCTACTTTGCAATGTGCTAAAACCAAAATCTTTTTGTGATCAGAAGGCAATGACGAGATATAGCCTTCCCACATATTGTACATATCCACATTTAAATGATGATGTGAAAACAGAATCTGTTCATAAATAAGTAAAGATTTACAGAGTACCCTGGATCTGAGGAAAAAAACAAGAATAAAGTAAACCTTTAAAAATGTGTCCATGTTTTTAAAGTTCAGTCTTAGTTGTGCAATCAGGTTTGCTGTATTTAAGATGTGTTCATACCACATTGGAGATTCTAGAAATCACAAAGCACTTCCCAGTCTCTTCACATGTATGAACATTTAAATGTAGTGAATGTGGTAAGAAGACTTTGCTAAAACATTCTCATAATGGCTTGTTCTCATTGGATTCACAGTACTAGAATGAACAGCTGCTTCTGAAGAAAAAGATGTGCTCCGCCATTTATTGAAAGGGCAAAGGTTAAGACCATCTGCAGCTGCACATCAACATGATGAAATCACAAAATTCTGTAGGCCAGTGCTGAAACAAGACTCAGGAACACCGTCCACAGATGTGAGGGAGGTTCCGAGGTTACAAAGTGCTACTATAAGTATTCCAGTTCCAAGGCATGATGAAGCGCCATAAGATCAGAGTGACTTGAGATCCTCCAGAATGGCATGGCATGCTGTGACAATATAAACACATTATAGGGAAACAATGTTACATGTTGTTTTATTATCACAGTAGTATTTAGCTATTCCATATTGCAAACCAAGTCAACAAGAATGCAAAACATTGTCAAAAATCATCAACCCTATAAGAAATGCATACTTAAATGTAAACAAAGAAAGACATATAAAGGCAGATCACACTGAAAGCAAGTACATTAAATAATGCAAACTTACTGTGTTAAAGGCCTGTCTATTTTACTTTTTTTGCAAGTATTACAAATATATCTCGAAATGGATTCTATTCAGGATAATACTTTCCATTAAGAATTCTAGCTTTTCACAAATAAAGATGCTGGAGCCAGGTGCCCCTATGGCCAATACACAGAAGTAGTAATGCCTAAAGCAATCATTCTCTAATCTAGTAATATTTGAAAAATATTAATAATTATGCATTTAGTCTGAAGTGTGAAATGCAATGAACTACCCCACTAATGCAAAGTCACACTAGAGTAATAATTTGCTATGTATCTATGGGGATTTTCAGTAGGAACTGAAAAAGCTTCTTGCATGAGAAGCAAAACATCTTCAAGGAAAAACAAAGAAAGTCCAAATTGCCTTTTGAAAAAGCACCTTTGAAATTTGCTATGAACTTCATTATGTATTCAAATTCAGGACTAATGTTCTGAGATTCTTTTGCTAAGTGACTCTAAGTCAAGCCTATGTTTCCGAACACAGCAATCTCAAAATAAAACAAAGTGCTTTGATTAAAAAAATGCTGAACCAGAGTGTCTTAAGTGAGCTTCATAAAGATAATACAGGTTGTGAACAATATCTTTAGATGCACTAATTCTTATCACTTGTACAATGCATAAAACAGCAAAATAATATTCATAGTTGGAATCCAAAGAATAAATTACTAAGTGTTGCTATTTACAGTGCATACGTGAATGATTGCCAAATGTCCTTTTAAGCCACAATACTTTACACTCCATTTAAATTCCACTCCAGAAGTTTCCATAATCATCATGACCAACCATAAAATGGTTAAAATAAGACGGGACAAATAACCTTTAAACCATGTGCAGCCCTCGGAATCCTAGCAAAGGTTCATAAAATTCCATAAAATTCCTAATATTCATAAAATTCCAAAAATGCAGCTTACTGTTTTTTTACCTGAACTATTAATTTCTTAGACTATAATTTTTTAAAACCTCTATCAACCTATATGTCAATAGTTTAATTTGAGAAACAATTTGGAAATTCTTTTTCAAATAGTCAAGTAGGCCAGTTTGATAGGATTAGAGTTAGGTTTAGGAAAGACAGAAACAAAATAAAGAGAAACAGTCTAAAATGATTAATTTGGTCACACATTTGGTGTGATGATTAATGAACTATTCCTTACTAAGCATTTTGTTTCTGCCTTCTTGTTGACAAATAAGTAGTCTAAGAAAAATCCTAAAATATCATTATTTAACTTAATCCTTTCCTATTCCTTCATAGCACATGGACATTGGTAACACTGACCTTCCAACAAGAAAATTAAATATACAAGGAAGTATGCATATAAATTTAAACATATTTGTAAATAATGCAAATACTGTCAATGACTGTACAAATACTCTGTACTCATCTCAACAAGTTCTTATATTTTTTATTACAGATTTTGTTCAAGGGACTGTTTTTTAACATCTTTCTTTATATGGCTATCAGCAAGAAACAATTGTTTGAAATAAGAAATATCACAACACAGGCTACAGCTTAGGATAGACTTATAAGTATAAGCACATATTTTAATATTGTTAAGATTGCTACATTTTTAACTACAGCAATTAATTTGAATGGAAAATTAGAAATGAATGTAAAACAACTCTTTATCATACCCATCAGCCCCATTAAGCTAGACCTGGCCAGAAAATTAACTCCATAGGAAGATTAGCTACAATAATGGAATCTTCCAAGTGCTATTCCTCCTTCTCATCATTTCCAGCGAATCAGAGCAGGGCTTGTTAAACTGCTTCTAAATATTATTTTGTTTCCTAAGACTTTAAAAAGGTTTTAACCCCCTTTCTTTAGGTAATAGTTCTTGCCTGTTTTTCTATAGCACCTCACACCTCCAGTATTAGTAACATACTGATCTTACATACTACAAGCTCAAACTGAAAAAAACACCCACTCCTTTATTTTCATGCTTGAAAAATCGCAATGTGGTAATTTGGGAAAGGCTAGGTAAATAACTAAGCATTATGATAAATATTGGTAATATTCAGATGTAGATATTTTCTAGTATGGTAAGCATCTCGTACATATAGATAAAAAAATTCATACATCATGATTCTTATCTGCATCAGTTATCCTGTGAATTAGTCCAAGTAGTTTTTCTCATTTATTATTACATGAACAAATATTTTAATTATCCAACTGCCATGTATCAGCCTTGCATACAATACTGATTCTGAATACCTTTCATCTATTCTCCAATACAGAATAGTCTAGGCTCTAAGCCATAATATTTTAACAGCATACTTGAATTAGTTTATTGGCAGCAGAGATGACTAGACACATCCAGTTGAAGAGCAGCTGGCAAGATAGCAGCTTGTTTTTTGACTGTCAGCTGGTAGTCAGGGTGGAACTCTGACTTGACCACTTGAGACAAATAGCAACTGGGATTGAATAAAATTAGTTTGTGTGGTATGTAAGAGTACCTAACTTAAATCCTTTTATTTTAGTTTGTGTTCTGACTATTCATACAGCAACGGAAGGAACATTTGCAATTCTTTGGTTATATAACACCACCCGTGTGCTGTACATGTGTTATAAAGAGTTCTGCCCTGGCTCCAGCTCACATCTTCCTGCAATTTCATCCAAGCTTAGGCCGAAAGAATAGAGAAGGTGCATTTGCTATGATGGGCAAAGAGCCAGCACAGTTTGTTCCTTCCCCAAAAGATCAGGCATACGGGAGGAAAATCTGCCTGCTGGCAGCATTGGCAGCATGAGATCCACAGGATTTCCTTTATTATTCTGGCTTCAGCAAAAACCACAATTGAGACCTTTACGTTGAAGGCATATAAATATAGTCACAGACAGCCTGAAAAGTAGTGTTTTTGGGGTGAGGTAAGAATATGAATGGTCACAGACTCAGGAGGATGTTTTTCTCAGGCATGAATACATATGGTTACCAAATTCATTGTTGAGATAATCCCATTTAATTCACTGTTGTTTTGCCAGGAGAAAATGTGGCTGCTGCCTTGTGTCCTAGGCTGGAAATTTCTTCCGGCAACAAAGAACACATGAAAGCAGTGCCTCCCGAGGATGGTTCATATTTATTTATTTATTGTATAAGCATAATGGCTTTCTTAGCTTACAATCCTACATCCAATTATGTGAGAAAAAGCTTCACCAAAGTCATGAGAAAACATGATAAAGATTGCACTGTAAGTTGTAATTTACATTTTAAAAAACTGCTTATTAAATGTTAGCACAAATTTAAGTGCATAATTCTTTTACCAAGCACAGTATGCTTTTCAATTATCACAACACAAAAGAAATACTGTTTAGATTAAATATAGAAATAGATTGCAAGGTAAATATTTGCAAGGGAAAGACTTTGGAGGACCGGACAAAGAGATGCTGCCAAGAGAATGGTCAGATAAGAGACAGCATAGCCTGCAGATAGAAGCAAGAGGTTCTCAGGTGTTAAAGGCGATGGGGAGGGCCGTACTTTCAGACTTGCAATATTTTGTCACTGTAGCTTACAATAAAGTAGAATTAGCTCAATTAATTGTGAGTCTTACCTGGCTTACCCCATGAGTCCAACAGCAATCTTGCTAGGCTGAAAGCATAATTCTCCTTCCCCCCCCCCCCCCCCCCCCCCCCCCCCCCCCCCCCCC